TATAAATATTGCTCCTATTTTCTGAAGACTTTTATAGAGACCCTCAAGAGAAATGTATATTGATACTACATTGAGATATTTTCTTTTCACCAATGAGAGGCAAAGATGCAAGAGCTTGTCAACATATTTTGTGGGCAAAGCCATGGGAAATAGGAACATTGATGGTAGTAGTCAAAATGCAGAAAGATGTAACCCCTATAAAGAAAAACTTGCCAATATCCAATAACGTGACAACCACATGCTCCCGTTGTTGCAGTAAGTCTACTTTAAGGAACTTATCCTAAAAGACATAAATACACATCAGATGAAAGGATGAAGGAAAATATTAAACCGTAAATAGAAGCAGCCAGCCGACCAAGGCAGAACCCACCAACAATCTTCCCAGAACACACACAAAAAAAGACAGGCAAAACGTACACGCTCTCTGGCAGAAGTAATGCTACCGCCTACAAAATATTCTTACTAAAATGTTAAAAACAAGAAAAAAAAAGAAATTAAATTTGAAACAGAACCAGCCTCTAGTACTATTTATACATGTGTGCATAAATAACAGAGGGACAGAAGATCTTGTTTGGTGACAACCTATGAATGCAAACAGCAAAAGCCAACATCAGGAAGATTCTATGGGACAAGCAAATTACTTTTTTCAGCAACTAAGTTACTGAGAAAACAAAAAGGAGGAGGAGAGATAAAAAGACTTCACACCAACCAAATACACTATGTGGGCCTCATCTGTCTCTAGATCTAAACAGAGCAGAGAAACTGGAGCAGTCACTGGAGAAGGAATGCTTAGGAAGTGTGGTACGGGCATTACCTTTATGTTTTCAAAAGAAGTCCACAGCTTTGGGGGAGCTATTTATCAATTTAGTGTGATTTTGGGATTTGCTTCAATAAGAGACTAAGAGCTTGGGGAATAGGACAGGAACTAGATAAGCCAAGACTGGCCAGTGGGTGGTTAAGATACGGTGAGAAGTACAGGTGAGTTTCATTATACTATTCTACTTTTGTTTATGTTTGACATTTTCCATCATTGAAAGTTTAGTGTATGATATATATACTATACCTGTTTAGTATATGATATGTATACTAAATCTCTATCATTAATCCAGAGAATAAATGCATAGCTAGCTCCCCTCTACAAATATTAGCAACAAATAGAGATATTTTTTAAAATACAAAAGGTTCTTTTTTCTTCACTTGGACTCCAGCATAATGATGGATTTCCTTGCTAGCCAGGAAATTCACCAAGATAAACAAGTTGAGTTTAAAACGTTATAAGCAGCCAAACTCCTGGTGAGGTGCTCTGGAAAAGAATACACTGGAGATTCTGGGAAGCACGAACAGCAGAAAGTTTTCTGGAGGAAAATCTAGGGCCACTGCCTTAAATGGACGTTGGTAATGAAAGCAGAGAAGCTCCACATTTATGTACAACAGCATGTGCTATCTGTGCCTATGGTCAGGATTTCGCAGTGAAGGTGGGATAATCATATTTCTAATGTTTACAATGAGTTTTCAAGCTTTCTCAATGAATAATATAAATTTTCAAGTTTTGATCCAAACTTAAATACCCAATCTTTGATACCAGAAAAATAATAATTTTTTAAAAATCCCATCACCTGTGAAACTCAGAGAAAAGCTGTAAGATTATGTTTCACTTACAAAAAATTTAGAGTGGTGTTCTTCCTGCGAGGCTGTGTCACAGAGCAGAGCAGACAGGCAGTGACAATTTGGCTTCAAAGGGAGTAAGACAATGTGCAGATAGATTGAGAGAGGGCTCGCTCCCTGGGTAGCTCCTCTGAGCTCTAGAAGCTGCCTGGCCCCTTGGCGGGTGTTGGGCTCGGCTCAGGGTGGGCCCCTCAGGACCAAGGCCAGGTCCAGAGCCTTCCCTGTCACTGGGCCTCCCTAGGGGAGGGCGGGCATCCCCAAGAGCTCTGGAAGGCAAGAGGTACCTCCCCTTGGCCAGGGGCAAGTTTACAATTGCTGCTCCCAAGCATGGGATCATGCTAACAAACGCAGAAACAAAATACAAACAACACTGCCCTTCTCTCTTCCAGGAGCACAGCTCATACTCCATGTTGGCTGCAGGAGTAAAGTTATACTTCTGGCTGTGTGGGCTCCTGCTGCGCTGCCCAAACACTGGGAGAAACAGAGGCCTCCTTTTCCTACCTTTGATGACCACAATTCCAAGACATGGACTATGTCCCAGCAAGACCAAGGGAGGCAGTTTTCTCAGTTAGCAGCATGTTTTCTTTTCTTGCTTATTCAGTCTTATGCTGACATTGCAATATAACCTTTGTCTTCAAATAAGGAAATACAGCTGGGTGTGGTGGCACATGCCTGCAATCCCAGCACTCAGGAGGCTGAGACAGGAGGATCATTGCGAGTTCGAGACCAGCATGGCCTACAAAGCGAGCTCAAGGCCAGCCTGAACTGCATAATGAAACCCTGTCTCAAAAAGACCGGAAAAAAAAGAAAAGGAAATACAGTAGCTCAGAATGACAGAGCCCAAGCAAAGGAGCAGCCCAGCCCAGGGACCCCATACAGAAGCCACAGGCAGCAGGAAAGTACAGGATTTGGCTTCCCTGGGAGGCTCAGGGGCTCCGCGCAGCTTCAGACTCTTCCAGAAGCCCAGTTACCTTCCTCAGAGCTTCTGCAAGTGACAATATAACTGCACCACCTGCACACACAATGCTTCACATTACAATTGCAATTGTCCACAACCACTGTGGAATGTTGACAGAAAGGAAGGAAATCAACCTCCAATTCAACTAGACAGGCAACTTTTGATGATCTAGCAAATCAAATTACTTCCTTGTACTTAGTCTTAACCCATCCCTTTAATAGAAGTGACACTGGATGACATGGCCATAACACACAGACAAGCAGCCTACAAGGTGTCAGAGCACGTAGGGGCTGCCCAGACTGCCCACAGGGGACAAGGACAAACTGTAGATCAGTAGACTGGGACCCACTGTAGCAAGTGGACAAAATGAGGAACAAAACTAGCCACTGGTACTGGAAAAGTGGATTACTTTGCTTAAAATGAAAAGTAAAAATGCTGTACAAACTAGGGCTAATTAAAAGAAACTCAGATTGTAGATTGATGACAAAGTGAACACACACACACGTGCGCACACACACACACACACATTGCTGGGTAATAGTAGAAAAAGCAAAAAGTGGATAATGACTTTAAAAGAATGCAGAGGACACTAAATATGTTAATAGGCTTATCAAAACCCACCTGCAGGGGGCATGGCAGTGTTTCTGAATAAATCATCACCTTGTAACAGCTCTGGGGGTCAGTGCCAGAGAAAGCCAAGCCCCTCTATGCAGGATCCAACTCACCTTTCTTTTGTGTCTCCCCTGGTGCATAGATCATCTTAACAAAGAATGGACACACAAAGAAATCCTGCGTCAACCCAATCTTGGCTGATTAAGAAACTCAAGGTTTGACATGCCCAGCTTTTTTCCTTTACATAAGGCTGACATAATTACACTTGTCAAACACATTCATTTATTAGCTCCCCATAAAGAGGGATACTGCAGTCATATTTGGCACACTGTTGTTGAGTCTCTAACCAGTATGAGAAGCATGGCACACTGCTACCTTTATCAATCTGGGTAACTGTGGATTCCTGCCTTTGCTGAAGGTTGACTAGGTACCAGGCTGAGGGCTGCCATTAGACAATTTAACACAATCATCACCATTACATACTGTATGTTTGTCGTCCTTTCCCCTCAGATTCTTATGGTGAAGCCCTGTCCTCTAATGTGACGGTATTTGGAGGTGGGACCTTTTGGATACAGTTAAGTTTGGACGAGATCATGAGGGCAGGACCCCCACGATGAGATTAATGTCTTGAAAAGTACCAGAGCTCTCTCTCTTGGCCATGTGTGGACACAGTGACAAGGTGATCATCTACAAGTCAGGAACTAGGCTCTCACTAGGAACGGACTCTTGGACTTTGAGCCTCCAGGACTGCAAAATAAATGTCTACTGTTTAAGCCACCTAGTTGATGCTATTTTGTTACAATGGCTCAAAAAGACCAAGATAATCACCATTTACAGATGAGAAAAACAGGCACAGAAAGTGTGAAGTTCGTGCTCAAGTCTAGCCAGTGAAACCTCACTCTAAATCAAGAGAGAAGGACCCCCCCAACCGACAAGCTTACGATACTCTTTAGCTGAAAAAATAATTCTTTCAGACCAACACTATCACCATTTGTAAAATAACAACTTTGTCTCATTGAAGTTGCTGGTTTACTATAGCTCATTAATTATAAAAACATTCATCCTGAAACTCCTAAGAGAGATAAAGTTCTAATTGTAAAGATGAGAACAGGACCCATAAACAATACTGTCCAACAGCACTTCCTACAATGATGGAAATCTACTGCCTATGCTGCCGGCTGATGGGACACTAGCACAGGGCTTCTCAACTGGGGACACTGAAGTGTCTCAAGACACTGTCAGTTGTCACAACTAGAGGTTGGGTGCTACTGGCAACTACTAGGTTGAGGCCAGGATTGCTGCCTGACATCATAGAGGATGATCCCCACAAAGAGATACCTAGTCCAAAATGTCGCTAGGGCCATGCTGGAGAAATGTGCGCCAGCCATGTGACTATTGGGCACTTTAGATATGGCTACTGAGACTGAGGAACTAAATTCAATTTTGTTAGTTTAATTAATTTAAACTTTAATTTTAGAATAAAGCGCTTAATAGAATAAAACTAACAAAACCCTGAATTTAAAGGTAAATGGTCACATGTGTCTACATAAATATAAAAATTAAAGGTTTTGTTTCCCAAGTACTTCTCCTTAAAAGAATGAAGCTAACTTCAAGGAAAAGAGGCTCTGATGCTTAGGACTGGCAAATACTGAGCATAAATAAAGGCACAAACACGAAGGGTATAAAGCTTTTGGACACATGTCCAGGTACCAAGTAGGTCAGGACAAGAGAAAGATGTTCCCGTTCACACACGTAGGCAACTCACTCTTGCAGGGTCTCCACGCCCTTTTCTTTGTACTGCAGCTCCTGCTTCATCTGGGCCAGCTCCCGTTTTAATCTGGAAAGCTAAAGACAAATCATAGTTGTTTTTCCAAAAATAAGCTGCAAAAAATGATTTTTACAGTTGTTATAGGTACTGTAATCTGCGATCCTACTTAGTTTGTAATTCCACGAATTTCCATCACACATGTCTAAAACTACCAGTCTAGAACAATCACCTTGCGTGGAACACAAATCCCCTATCTATTGCTGACAGTCCCCTGCCCTGATGGGGAACTAGTAACTCTATTGTTTTTCTAGGTAAGGACTTACACATTACAATTGGCAAACCTGAATGCTTTGCCCTCTTTCCTTTTACTCACTACTCTCTACTCATAGATCTCACCCAGGAACCTGTTTCTAAAAGCATGGTCTCTAACTATCTGAAACTCAGTCACCCAGTAAGCTTCTTTAGGGTTCTGAACCATTCCAGGCCCAGGTCAAAGCCAAGGGGTGGGCCTGCACTTTTACAAAGCTCCCTAGGTGTTTTTCTTAGCTGGACCAAAATGTGAGAACGACCACAGTAAAAGGCACATCCTGGCCAGGGAACAACACACCAGAAGAGGAGGCCTCACTGCCAAGAATCTTCCTGTGCTTTGTTGAAAATGTGACACAAATGTCCCCCTTTGCAGGCTACCAAAATAAGGATCTGAAGGGATAAAACAAGGTGACACTTGAAAAATCCAAGCAACACTAGGGAAGGAGCTTCAGAGCCCTCCGGTCAAACAATGTTCAGAAGCCAGCCCTAGGACTGATTACCCAGAGGAGAAGGGCAGCTGTTGGGGGGAGGGGGCAGGGTCAAGGTCAGCATCCAGCTACCTCTGAGAAGCAGACGTGGGAGACTGTGCTCTGTTGTCACCACATCTTTCCGAATGACTGGTGAGTGAGTTCAGTCAGCCCAAGGAAACACACACAGGAATATAAGCTACTTCTGACCTAGCTTTAAAATGAAACTTTTGTTCCTTCTATTAGAAAAGAAGTAGAAAGTAAAACAAAATGTAATAATAATCTATGAAATTGAAACTTTTACTAAGATATGAGCATTAGGCACACTGATGCCCACAAAATGAACCAGATTAAGTAAAGCCACATAAAAATACATGCAGTACTTCTAGTTGTCAAAACACTAGTTTTACTCACCCTATCCCGACGACTTGCTATTTCTGCTTTAATTTGGTGTGGGTCATACTTTGTATTTGCTGAATATCCAGAGAAGGCTAAACAAAAGAAAAAATACGTTATTTTATAATAGATCTTCTAAAATATATAAAGGCACATAGGAACTTCTGAGTCACAATTTTAAGTCTCAGATTTACAAGTGGAAACTAGCTCCTAAATAATTAACCTCTCACAACTTCAGATCTGCTTGATGTTTGTTTTTTGTACCAGAATTTTCTGTATGATTACACATAAGAGAATATATAGCTGTAGGCAAATCACAACTCTTTATTTCTCTTACAAATCAATGATTAGGGTTATAAAACATACGAACAGAAGGGAAGAGAGGTACGAATATGACATGGAAAATGTGGTATGAGCCCATTTTACTAACTTTTCCAACACATAACATGAAAAGCACTGAAGAATATAACCAAAAGGTTAACTGTGGTTATTCTCTGTGGTTATATTACAAATGATTTATCTTTATTTTTTCACATTTATTATTCTCCAGATGAAAACTTTTTGACACTAGAAAGAAAAAACTAAGAATGAAATTAAAAGGACAACTTAATCTAGTACTATGTCCATCTGGCAGGTTTGAAGAAAGCTATGCCCTCAAGTCTGTTCCCCAGAAACTGAAGTGAACTGCTCACACTTTGGTTCTAGCAGCTTGCTGATGGATGGTTAGCTAAAATACACCACATAGCTCAAGGCTCCTTAAACAGTGTGACAGTAAGCATGATTTAAAGGCTGTTTACAGACCCAGCATCATTAGTATGAATACCCAATACCTGGTGTGAATAAGCCCCACAGAGCTGTTCACATGACACACGCACTGTCAATTTCGGTCCACAATGAGAGCTGCAAAATCTTCCTGGTATTTCGGCATCTGGAGCAGCCAATGGCTGTTTCTTATTCCTACCACCCCTTCCACACATCTGCAGCCACAAGCTTTTGCACTGTGACAATATGACTTCTCTTCTTTAGCTTGTCTTCATCTGTGAGTCACCCCACATTGTATCGTCAGCCTCCCAGTTACTGTCCTTAACACACCTGGCTCAGAAGATCCACCTACAGGGCTAGTATATTTTCTTTTATTTCTTTGATCTGGGTGTCTCAGGCTGAGTGCCATAGAGTTAACTTGGGTTCCTACAACTAGAAACTAATTCAAAATCCTTCCCTGACTTTATACTGGAAAGGATGGCTCAAACCTGTCAAGTAGCTTACACAGCAAGATTATTTAAAACCTCAACTAGAACCACATCCAAAGTTAATTTGGGCAGTTCAGATCTCCCATTTTAAAAGCAGTTCTATGGAAAATCTACTATTTAAACACCATTCAGTCACAACTTCAAACAACTGAATATACTGGAAATAAATATCTGGAGGAGCTAAATGTCTGCCAGCTTATCTCAAATTTTCTTGTACTTAGAATCATGATCTCTCAAAGACACGGAATAAAATATTTTTAAAACAGAATTCTTGGGCTGGAGATGTAGCGCAATGGTAGAGTATTTGCCTAGTTTGTTCAAGGGCCTGTGTTTAGTCCCCAGAACCACCAAAAACAAAAAGAAAACCAGAATTCTTTTTTAGATGAGAATGCCTGTTCCCAGATCCTACAACTTCAACCCTGGCTGACTCATGGGATCCATTTAAGATTAGTAATGAAAGCAACACCTCAAGTAATGCCCCTAAGAGGTTAAAAAATTACATAAAATCTCTATATTAAATTCCCAGGACTTAAGTCTCCTAGAACTGGACTTAAAGGCCTTCCACTTTGGTGGGAGGCAATATGGGAAGGAGACAAGGGCTTGCTGACCCCTCCCTTAAATGTGTATTGAACTTGCCAACTTAGCAGGGAGACAAGCCAACAGTTATCATCTGGGACCTTTCTTATTAAGGATTGAAAGTAACCCCACCACGAAAGTTCAATAAAGTTAACTTCAGTGTTAAAGACCAGTAACAGTATCTGGAACTCATCATCACCAAACTTTTCCTGTGTGATTTCATAGGGAATATTAGCAAAGACTTGAAACACACACAGCAGGTGTAGACAGCACTGGACATCTACCCCACACAGCCTCCAGAGGATGGTTACATGACAATGACTCCTTCTGCTCCAGCCCACGGGAATTAATCTTCTGTTATTTACAGCTGAAATTATCCTAGAAGACAGCTTTTACTTATATGGATACCATTCATGTTACTTTTGCTATGGTCTCTGAAATTATAAAACTAGGTCTGGGATGAGAAAAAATGCAACTCAAGTACATACGCTTGTGAACACATTTTATCTCCTGATGCTAAGAATAGTTCTGAACACTGACTTAACTTTTAATAGAATAGTTCAATTTATAAATAAAATTCTTAGTCCCTCAGATCTGCCGGTAAATCTAACAGAACCACTTACACCAATTATAGAATTGAAGGAATAGCTCAAGACTCCAGACCCCATTTTTAACAGCATGCACTCCATAACATTTATAAAAAGATCTTCCTCTGGTAAGCATGCTTCCAATCTCAAAGTTCATGATAAAGACCAGACTTCTACCTCCAAGTTCTCTTCACTCTAGAAGAGTTGAGTGTGAAGAGCTATTAAATAGCTCAAGGAATCTGCTCAAACATATAATATCGCTTCGAATGATGTACGGTTATAGCTTAGCTGGACCATAACAATGTAAATTATTACACCTTGCTATTATAGGGTGCCTTTCACATTTATGTCATCCACTCTCATAAAAATCTTTGTGAAAGGGAAATAATAATTGTTTCCTCACTTTATGGATTAAAAGGCTGAGTTTGTAGTGATTTGATCCATACTACGTCATCATTCGGGTCCAGAACATGGACTCCTGAGGAATTATCGCTCAGTAAACACACGTGCTCTGTTACAGCCTTCAAGGTTGAGGCTGCCAACTAATAACGTGTGAAAAATACTCCATAATCCTTTTTTTTCCATGCCTGCTCCAACATGCTTATATGATGGCAAACAAAAGGCTGATCAGATTCACTGTAGCCCTTTTGCTCACCCAGACAGCAGATGAGAAACACCCTGTGGCAAGGCACGGATAGAAGATAGTTTTTGTGGGATGGGCTTGGAGCCTCACAAAGAATGTTGGCAGGACTGATAGCTGATAAGGTCAAGCTTCACCACCACCTGACCCAAGATTGCGGGGTGAGTCAGCACTTTCTCACTGGAGATAAGGTCGACTCTTTCCCAAGCACCCAAAGAAACTTCTGGTGTATGGCTCCTAGGAGCTGCAATACAAAGCCATATTCCTGCTGCTAGATGGGACATTCACAGTCAAAGCCAGCAGATCTTAACTCGAGAATCACGAGGGGAGCTTTAAAGACCCAAACAACAAAAATGTCTGGCCCTATCCAAGGCCAATTAAATCAAAATCCCTCAGAATGCAGCCCAGACAGTAGTCACTTTTAAAAAGCCCTCCAGGAGATTCGAACTTGCAGGCAGGCTGAGAATCACTTGTATAGACTATGGGCATGAAATCTTTTCAGTAAAGGAACAGATAATAAGTGTATTTAGCTCTGGGCCATACAGTTTGTCTTGAATACTCAGTGCTTCGTTTTAGCTGCCGCAGACAATAAGGGAGTAAATGGCCATGACTATGTTCCAAGAAAACTTTATTTGCGAACAGCTGCACTGGACAGGATTCAGCCTGCAGGGCTGACACAGTTTGCCAACCTGTGGCTCAAGACTATGATTTTCCCCCATGCAAGAATTTCTTCCAAAAGATCCTGCACATGGTGATATAGTTCATTTCATTGTAGGCACAGGCTAGAGTTTCTCAAGAATGAAGGAATAACTCCAGAAGAAAAATTTCTGAGATAATAACGCATTCAGCGTTAAAGGTGGGGGCAAACAGAAGGACATGTTACAATTAAAAATGGAGGAAAAAAATCTACAAAATGGAGCTGCAGAAAAACTCCTGGGTGTGTCCCTGAGAGAATGAGTCCACTGTAGAACAGATTCATCCCAGTGTTCTATGTACAGAGTGTAAAACAGAAATGGGCACCGGGCACCGAGCTCAGAGGCTCATGGAAATAAAGTACAGTAGGCATCTTGGTTCCTGCAGACATGTGTGCTCTAATCCAGCAAAGCATCTGAATTTGTTTTGGTCAGGAACAAAAAAGGTCAAGGCTTGGATATTCTTAGATACCAGATGGCCCAACATTGACACAAAATCTTTCCTCTCCAGTGAATGGAGTTTTATTCCGGTGATTTTCATAGCTCAGGGGAAAATCTGTGAAGGGTGTGGGCCAGACACACTTCCCCTCCTCCAGTCTTTCCAGTTAGTTCCTCTGTTCTCCACTACTGCCTCATTTTTCCTTATAATTAATCTTTAAATTATATCCTCAACCTTTAGTATATATCAACATTAGGTGCTAAATAAATATTTACCAGAAATAGATGACTAGTTTAGTGAAAGTGAAGAAGTAAAAAGTTCTCTGCCTTTCACTTGCCCTGTTATTGTTGCATAATTGCCGGACAACTTGTCAACATATAACTGGTCTTTATTTTCACATCTAACTGGGAAATGGCAGCAGGGGGCAACAAGTGTCACAGAGGCCCAATTAACTCTTCTGAGCTGCCTCGTCCCAGTCCAGGAAATAGTCCAGAGAACTGAAGGGTACAAGCAAACAGATCCGGGTTCAAATCCAAGCTCTATCATTTACTGACTGGGTATATAACCTTGAAGAGATAAGTTACCCACCCTGATATTGAGTTTCTTAGGAGAATAAGGAAGACCACAGCCTGTGCTCCACAGTGTGCAATCATAGCAATGTATATGAAACCATAGCTTATCAAACAGCTATTTCCATTCCCTTCAAGTTATGACCAATCAAAGAAGTAATGGCAAATAAATCCAGATGATACTTAGTTTCCAGTATGAGAACAAGGAGACACCTCCCAGCTTTAGAGGTGAGCTGGCACTGAGAGAGATCTCAGTGCCATGAGCCCTACGTGGCCATCTAGAGCTAGATCCGCTTGAATATGGCCACAAGCAGCTCCCAATGTCGGCCCAGCCCCTCTGGCATGGCTGTATGAGCCATCTGTGAGATCATGGCAATTCAAGCCAACAGGATCACTGTACTGAACTTTACCCTGTGGTCAGAAAGAATGCATTTGAGTCATGACTAGCAGGGTTTTCCTCATTGTAATCGGTAGTTCAGGTTAAATAGCAGACTGAAAGAGCCTGGTGGAAACCCTAGGGACAGCAGCAACTTGATAAACCACTTGGATTAACTCCTAGATTCCACTCATAGTTGACTTTTTCCCTGGTGAGCTGATAGGCCCCAGGAAGCTCCACTGGCATCTCCAGCCCTTTCATGAAAACAGGCAGGCCCCACTCAGGCCTCCAAGACACATGGAATAACCGACCAAGTGTACACCAAGACTTTGGGCAAGGGAATCTGACAAGCATACTACAGTGTCAATACTACAGGGTCATCATCTCCCTCTAGGAAGAAACAGACGCTACTTCAAAGAGAACATCTTGAATATTTCTTTTTACCAGCCATTAATAAAATTTCACAGGGTACAGGAAGGAACGTGACTGAGCCTAATTCTTTATTTGCCTAAATGTCAGGAGAGGGGCACCAAAACTAACCTTCTTGAATATCTCAGCACCACAGGTCTCTAAGTACTGAACAACCTTACCTGAAAGGCTCTGTGCTACACTAGAGTTCCTTTGCTCCCCCTCAAGGTAGGTACTCCGAGGGCCACCATATCTATACCTTTAAAGCATCCAGTCCAGAATCCCCATGCTTGGTACAGCTGGAGTGCTGGCTGCATTGGCAGTAGCTAGTACGTAGTACATACATTCACCTAGCTAAATTTTTCTTTTCAAACACTGGCAAGAAACTTCCTGCCAAGTTTTTCTGATACATACTTCTTCCATTCCATTCTTGAAAGACTGAGTTCAGAGCCTCTTTAGAAACTTCATGAAATCCTACCATGGAACAGATAAAGTACCTCAGGGCTACTGGAAGGAAACATTATTAGGATGGATCTTAAGAAGCTGCCAATATTCAGCCTTCCTTGACTACTTAAGCGGCAATTTTTTACAGTTTAACCTTGCTTCTGGCAAGAAAGTTTGTGGAAGTTTTAAAATTGTTAACTATAGGACCTTAGGGTCAGGTATAAGCCAATGCTTCCATTAGGCATAACCTTGAGGTACCAAGTCTATAGGCTTCTGATCCTATGAGAGCACCACGAGACACAATATGCAGCTATAAAAGTCATCTCAATAGAATTCAAATGACCAAAATCTTACTGAGCACAGTCTCTCACCAAATGGAATTAAATTAGAAATTGATAACAACTTGGCAGCTTAAACAATCCCTACACCTTACTTCTAGAGAACACATAGATGAAAACAAAAATCACAAGGAACATGAGACAATACTTTGAATGGAATGAAAATGAAAATATAGCATATCAAAGTTTGTAGAATGCAGTTAAAGATAGATAACAGGGGAATTTGCACCTTTAAAGGCTCTGTGAAAAAAATAAGAAAGGTCTAAAATCAGTGATCTAAGTTTCCACTTTAGGAAACTAGAAAAGTGAACACAAAGTCAAGACAAACTAAATGGAAGGAAAATAGTAAAGAAGAAAAATCAATGCAGTAAAAAACAGGTAAGAAATAGGAGAAAAAAGGACAACCCCAAAGCCAGTTTATCGTAAAGATAAATAAAATTGACAAAAGTTTAGCTAGGCTGATTAAAAAGAGAAAAAGACATCAACTATTGCCATCCGAACTGAAAGAGAGGGTATTACCTCAGAATCTACAGACATCAAAGGATAGCGAAGAGAATCTATGAACTTTATAGACTTGACAGCTCAGATCACCATTTGACAAACTCTATGGGCCAAATCCAGCTTGTTACCTGTATTTATACTTTTATTGAAACACAGTCAGACACACTCATTTACATGTTGTCTCTGACAGGACTGAGTAGCTGGGCCTGAGATTAAATGGCCCACAAAATCTAAATTATTTGTCCTTTAAAGCAAAGTTTCCTGACTTTTGGATTACATGAAATAGACAAATTCTTTGAAATATGCAAATATCAAAACTGATTCAAAAAGAAATTAAAAACCTGAATAGCCCTATATCTATTAAAGGTATTGAGCCTGTAGTTGAAAACATTTCCACAAAGAATTCCAGGTGCTAGTGGTTTTTCTGATGAGTTCTATCAAATAGTTAAGAAACCGTTAATACCAACCTCACATTTCAGAAAAGAAGAGGGAACACTTCACAATTCATTCTGTAAGGCCAGTATCAGGCTGATACCAAAATCAGGGAAAGACATTATAAGAAAACTGGAGGGAAGAAACCAGCCTGTAAAACTCAGCACTGAGCTGACCTATCACCTTATGATGGAAGTTAAAAAAAAACAACTTAGTATGAACCAGTATCTCTGTAGACCAAAAGATAAGATGACTTGGAAATAACACATCATTATATCTGAGTCACCTCTATTCCCTGCAGGCACATGGTAACAGAAATATTTTAAATTCCCATTACAGAGGCAAACCTGCACTACTGTTCACAGTTTGTGTGCTTTTTCATCTTCAACAGTAGCTGCAATAAAAAGAGCACCAGACATGTGGCCCCTTAGCCTTACTTCTATTCTGACTTAAAACACGGAATAAAGCATAATCGTATCTTTAACATTCAAAACTTTATCATTAAAGCCAAATACCTGGCAGCACGGCAGTATGTCATAAGTAGGTCCCCCTATGTCTCAAATACATGTACGTTTTTATAAAATAAGACTCAATGGTACCAACTTTATATAGTTTCTCTGAACTCACTGGTACCCAGGACAGTAGTAGCCATGTGTACCTGTGGTGGGCTACTGTATGTGACCACTCTGTTAGGAGCTGGCTCAACCAGTAACTATGTCAGTAACAAAAGGCTTTGGGTTCTGAGATAGGACCTGGTTCCCTCCATACCTGAACACTTGCTAAGTACTAATGAAATAGGAGGCCTCCTCAGGCAGCCTCTGAAACCATGGCAGGGTCCCTTTGGAGAATAGTAGGGTCCAGCCCTCCTACCTTCAGGTCAGAGATTGCTCCAATTTTCTGGGTTATACTTGGTTTCTCCTTCTTCAGTATACTGCTCAAGAAAGCCCAAAAAAGGTCTCTACAGCGAGACAGGTGCTTGGCAGCCTGCAGACTCCTGAACCTTCCCACCCAGAACTGAGACACCCCCTGTATTGGTTTCCCAAGGGATCACCTCAGACATGCTGTATTAACTGCAGTGACCTCCGAGTGAAGTCCTCTTCAAAACTGATAGTCATGAGAAAAGAGGTTGCTTCACATCACAACCGGATATGTATTTGTTTATTTGGTTTTTACTATCTGTCCTGAAGATAAGCTCCATGAGGGCAAGGACCTTTCCTTTGTTAGTTACCACCATATTTCTGTGTCTGGGAACAACTTTGTCAGTCACCACCATATCCCATTGTCTGGCCACAAAGGAGGCACTTGATAAATGCTAGTTACTTAGAAGTATGTGACTGGAACCTTCCAAAAGCTGTCTTTGGTGTTTACAGACAATCTAGCAAAGAGATGACAGTGAAAGTTGTGCGTATTCAGAGACAAGTTAACTCACAGCTGGCATAGGAGCGGCTGTCATCCTCACATAGTGTGTGCAGCTGCTGGTACTCCTCCTGAGCCAGCTCCAACCGCTGCTGCTTGATCTGGTAGATTTCTTTCTTGGCATTGAGAGCCTCCTGGGCTACAATTAAATACTCCTTCAACATCCGCTCCTGCTCTCGCCTCCACTGTTCTCTTGGATCCTCAATCTGGGTAAGCTCTGAAATGAGAAAGGTAAGAACACAAGTTGACTTAATGGCAAAATCTATAGACAGATCAACAGTCATCAGTTATATTGCTGTTCCATATAAAAATGAACTATCTACTAGGATGTGCAATATGGAAAAGTCCACATGAGGTTTCCTAATGTACAGAATACCTATTTATATATCCACATTTGAGACAAGAAGAAAAACTCTACAGACACAAAATAATCCGCTGAAGGAGGGAAGACAAGACAAGGCCATTTTTATACCCCCAGACATTTTAAATTGGCATTGAGGGAAATTAGCCCAAATGAGTTTGGCCCTGTCAAATTAATGTCTATTTGCAACGTTCTCCTCACTGACTTCTTTAGTGCAGGGTAATAGAAGTGCTACCGTCCCCCTGATGTGGCTTGCTCCTCTTCTCCTTTTCCCTTCTTGAAGATGCATTACTAATTTCCTAGTCTCCTCCCACCCATGGTCCCCCGTATCCAACCTGCTTCCTCTCAGGAGGGCCTATACATTCTCAAGCACCACCCTTCATACTACCCAAAGCAAAAGCAAACCAAACGATGACACCACATACTGTGGGCCTTCTGCCTTCCCACTCACAGTGTGCAACACCATCTGGACCTTCCCCAGTCACCCTGGGACCCCAACCTGACTCTCGTCCACAAAGAACTCTTGCTCTTTCCCCTCCTAGGCTATTGCAAGGGTCCTCAAAAATTAGTGATTCCTGCCACTGGATATAATCTTGGCTGACGACATGTCCTCTCTCCTATCTCCCCTTAGTGCAATGAGACCCACCAAGCTGCCCTCCACAATCGGCCTGGTTTCTGTCTTGGGCCACCATGGCCACTCTCTATACATTCACAAACATCACCTTCCCCACATGAGGCACTCTCTCACATAGGAACCTCTCCTATAGCACCAAGTCCAGTCACCCTAGCATGATAGGAGTCCTGAAACTCATGTGCCAGCTTCATCTCTATTTTCTGCCCTTTTCCTCACAAATATCCTCTCCTCAAGGCACCAGATACCCTCATTAGGCTCACATCCACTGCTTTTTATGTTGCTTCTGTCCTCTTCTGCCCATCAGGAGAACCCACTGCCTTCCTTCCAATGCTCACTAGAAAGACACTTCTGGTTTGAACCTTCTCTGGCCCTCCCAGAACTGCCACTCTTACTACCTGCCATACAGCACATGATGGTTTTTATAGCTTTTTGCTTTCTCTGTAAACTACGAGCCCTAGATAACAGGGCTACACCCTCAATTGCCTTCATATCCTCAGAAGCATTCGCTTCGTCTGTGGAAAGAAAGGTTATCAGGCCATAGAAAGGAATGAAGCAGACACCTGCTATGATACTGAGGAACCTTGAAAACATGTTCAGTGAAGGAAAAAAGACACAAAAGGCAAGATAGCATATGATTCTATATCTATGAAATGTCTAGAACACACAAGCTCTCGGGGACAGAAAGCAGAATGATCACTACCAGAGGTGGGAAGGAAGGGAATGAGGAGTGACTGCTACACAAGGCTGAATTTCCTATTGGGGATGATGAAAGTGGTTTGGAATTAGATAGAGGTGGTGGTTGCACAGCACTGTGAATGCACCAAATGCTGCTTTTCACTTCAAAATGGTTCATTTTATGATCTGTGCATTTTACCTGAAAATCTTTAGATATGTTAATTTTATGTTATTTATTTTAATACATACACACACACACACACACACATACACACACACACATGCTAAATGTCCCAATGTAAGTTTCCCCTTGGAAGCACCTGGTAGATAGCCCCCACTTAGCCTTCTACACTGTCGCCCGAGGCTCTTAGCTTCCTTCTCAGACCTTAAAAGCTCACACAACAGAACAGAAAACCACAGGAGTCTAGCCTCAGCTCTCGAGTTCAGATTCAGTGGGCCTGGGATAGGACAGTCAGGAATGCTGTAACTACCCGGATGTTCCTGATGTTTATTCAGCTGGGAGACCCAATGCAGCTGCCAACTAGCAGGGTTCAAACTGTTCCACTGCCGTAGAGGGTCTTGGAAACTTCGAAGGCTATCAACACAGGGACCCGCTGGTCCCCGCATGGTTGACCTGCATAGATCCAATTTCACGATGTAATTCCTCTAATTCTGTGCTTTAAAGACTTTTATAGCTGTGCAGTCAGGATCTGGGGTCCCAGAAGGTCTCCAAAGAAGAAGATGGTATGACCCCAGGACTGCTGTGTCCACCCACCATCCCTCAGGTGCTAGCTCATCCCTTACGCTCTGGGTAGCTACAAGAAAATCACTGGTAACTATTTGCTTTTTAGATTCATGCCTACTTCTAGTGTGTCAAACCCTGGAGGGTAGAGATTAAGTCTTAACTTCCTGTGTCTCTAACACCTGAATAGAGTAGGTAGCACAGAGGTGCTCTATAAATTCTTGCTGTGATTCAAGGAGCAAATCAGCAAGGAACATCAGTGGCAAACAAGGGGGAACAGAGAAGTGGGCAAGCTGGGTTTACAAGTTACAAGAGAGATGGGCCAGAACGGATCCTGGGTTGCAGGCTTCTCCAGCAAGGCTATGCTATGTAGAGCAAATGTCTACAATGAGATGAAGCTTCTGAAGTAGGGTTTCAGCACTACCCACATTTAGGTTTGACCCATTCTCTGTGGTGGGGCCACCCTATACACTGTAGGACATTTAGCAGCAGCCCTGGTCTCCATCACTGGACGGAGGCAGAAATTCTCTCAGGCATGGCTATGATGAATGCCTCCAGTATCAAGGGTTTCTCGGGGCAAAATCACCCCAGGTTGAGAACCAGTGCTCCACACAGTTCTACAAAAGACACCGGTAAAGTCACAGACCTATCATCTTCTCCTTATACACACACACACACACACACACACACACACACACACACACACAGATCAAAAAGGTTGGTGTGTTAAACATATCAGACAAAATGAAGCTATGGTAACCTCTTGGGCAATTACTAGTCCAAGAACTCATACGTGCTGGTTTGCATTAAACAAACTTTTAATCATGAGAAGTATTTTTGTTTGCAGACTGCCTGGGCAATTAATCCCTCATATTAAATATTATAACTCTCCATTAAACATATTCATGTAGTCTTCAGATGAGGTACAACTATATACTGTAACTGCCTCATCCAGTGAGAATCAGCTAATGAAAACTGCATGTTAGATGTGAAGTTTAATGTTGCACTGGACAGTAATAATTATTTTACTTTACAAAACAAGGTTTCAGTATTTCTGTGATTCAACCAGAAAATTCACTCACAAGTATTGATGCAAATATAGCATTCTACTTACTATTTATGTGGTCCATGTAATAAATTCCAATTTGTTTATCATATACAGTTTCCCATCCTAAAGGAAGTTCATCACCAACACAATCAGCAAAGGTCAATGGCTTTGTTATCCTGCAAAATAAAATTATGAAAACAAATTTGAAAATCAGGTCAGTTTTGTATAATTTTGCTAACTCTAATGCAAATTAAAACAACACTGAGATTCCATCTCACCCCAGAAAGAAAGGCTGTTATTAAAAAATCAACCAATAACAAATGCTGGAGGGGCTGTGGGAGAAAAGGAACCCTTCTTCATGGCTGGTGGGAGTGTAGACTGGTGCAACCACTGTGAAAATCAGTGTGGAGATTCTGCAAGAAACTAGGATTAGAGGTCCCATTCGACCCAGCTATTTCCCTTCTGGATATCTTCCCAGAGGAATTAAAAACATCATACCATAGCAATATATTTTTGCTGACTCTAGACTTTAGACATAAGTCTTAATACAAAATTATACATCATCTTATCTGACTACCTTTGCCCCAACTATTTAGTTGCAAAATTAATTCACCAGCTTTGCCTAAATAATAACTATACTAGTATACTCACAATTAAGAGCCTATCTCAAAGTACATTTTAAATACCAGAGAGAACAGATATTGATAGTTACCAACAAAACAGGTAAAACAAGCATCTTCTTCCACCATTATGTGTAATGAGGCAATGCCTGTGGAATGCAGCTTTTCCAGACTAGGAGAGCACCAATGCTCTCTTCCCTCTCCCTGAGAAACGTTCTCCCTTACAACTTTCAGTTTCCCTACAGTACACATGAAAATCTGCTTAAATTACACAAAATGTACCTATAGTATTTTCACCTACCAGTGATCAGAATTTAATGAATCAAATATTAACCACTGACCAAACAGAAAAAGCCAGGCAAAGCAACAATACAATGAGATACCCTCTGAATACTTCCTGTTTTCTTTATACAATAAGAATCAGAAATTTCAAAGGGTCCTTTTTGTTTTTCTAGAGAAAAACATCAAAGGCACAATGGCTACAAACATCTCTTTTTGGGGAAAATCTGATTAAGGAAACCTTGGCTTGGCAGGAGATAGAAAAAGAAAAGGGTTTTCCATGGATTGAAGCAGAGCTTCCCCTCCCCCATCCCTGTGATCACGTTGATTGACAAGACAGTTTTAGGGCAGCAGCTGTTATATAAAAGGGGCGCACCTATAATTGTCTGAGTCTGGGCAGCTATCTCTTTGGTTGTCTCTATAAATGCACACTGACTGGTATGCATGGGAATCCGATAACCTAAATTTCATAAGCTCAATCCTCCCACTTCTTCTGTTCAAGTCCCTGGCCCCAGGAAAGTGAGACATCACAAGTGCAGCCAGGCCCCATGAGACCAGTATGAATTTTGAACATGTGATTTCTCCAAACTGGTTGGACCACAAGGCTATCTCTCCCAGTAGTGTTGAGAAATTGATAAACATTATCAGAAAAAGGCTGATTTTAATCTTCTTTTTAAATATATGGTTTTAAGACGTTAGAGTCAATATAAAAACAGAAATGGAAAGAAGTTAAGACAGGCTGTGAACATCCTCCCAAGGATGACACATTCACAAAAAAGCATATCACAAGATGAGCCTATTGCACACTCTCTGTCCCATTCGACAACAGTGACATCGGCAGCAGAATCCCTTTACCAGTTAGAGAGTGGTGTGACAGTGGCACGGTTCCAAGGCAAGCGGGTAGTGGCAGGGTGTTGTACATGATTTAGAATCTGAGTGAGACCAAACCACAGCAAAAGCAATCCTACTATAATACATATTGAGTCCTGCATATATCTCTGCCATCCTAGCAGAACAATATCATGAATAAGCCTTGAGAAAAATGTCCAAATACAAACACATTTTAAGCATATTTACATATATGACCTCATTTAACAGAGGTGAGAAACCCATCCTTAAGCACTGCAGAACCTAATTAACTTACTTTACGATTCAGAAGTGTTATAAAATTATTATAAGTTCCCATCTTTCCATTTTCTTTATAAAAACCCCAAGTTATTATAAAGACTTCCATACTCCTTGCTCCAAAATTAAATCAAGCAATAGTTCTACCATTTTATTGCATTTTAGTTTGGCTTTATGTGGAAACCACGTGTCTCATGATTTTACTGCCTTTCTGAACAAAACATGGAGCTCCTATGGTCACATACAGAATATGGCCTCAAATCATGCCAAGAAGAAGTCACACCTCTTAGAGTCCAGTTAATGCCAAAAGCAAGGTCTCTACAACCACAGAAAAGTGATCAAGTTCTTACAGATGTTCTCAGAAGTCCAGAGTGCTTACCTGGTTCTCCTGAACCACTAGCTCTGGCAGAAACCAGCAACGATACTGCAAACACACTCAGGCAGCCCTGTGGAGAGGCCCATGGATATGGATTCTCTAACCCCTGTCAAGCCTTCAGACGACTGCAGCCCCAGACAGCATCTTTACTCAAGAGAGAGCTGCCCACCTAACCTCTTCCAAATTCTTGCACCACGGAAATCACATGACATAATGCTTACTGTCATTTGGAACCACAAAATTTCAGGCTACAGCAACAGAGAACTAGTCCCTAAGCCTTGCTATCTCTTCACAGCTCATCAGATGCTACAGCAGACGTTTATAGTGAGGACCAGGCTGTCATCTACGAACAGGCAGTGAAATGCCCAGAGAATTTTTAGTCCTATTCAAGAACATTAAAACAAACATCTATGCCACTCTTCTGACTTATCAGGATTGGCACATCCTCGCAACATCCAGATAGTTGTGGTTTCGTTGAATATAGAAAAAGCCTGGCACAACTTTCAATCACCACATTGAGAATGTCTGGATTTATTCTCTTAATTATCATTCCAAAATACTTACAAGACAGGGACTTCATGGTTTCCTCTAGGATATGACATACTATAAATGGATATTTTAAACTATGCCAATGTCAAAATGCTGTTTTTCTCTCAAGAAAGTGTTAACACTACTTCAGTAATGAATAAATCACTTCAGATGAATTATTTAGTTTCAGAATCCATTTGATCACATCTCTACAAGCGGAAGAGCTAATTATTGTCAGAAGGGCACCATCTGAAGTTCCTTTGGTGTTAGCTCTTCAGCAAGAAGTATTTCTGGCTGTTGTTCATTCTCAGGTATCAGGGTGAGGCCAGGAGCCATCCATGAGAGAACTCAGATATGGCTGGGGAATAATCAGCACCCTGAGCAAGGTGATAAGCTTCCTCCTGGAAAAATGTCATGATTTCTTATCTTGGCAGTTGCTATCCACTCACTTGCATGGAGGCAAAGACATCCAGAGACGTCCTCAAGCCCAGTGGCTCTGTGAAAAGTGCACAGCACTGAGTCTTCCAGGACAAACCATTTGGGTTGGACTTAAAAGTCTTCCTCAAGGCCGGACCTTACAAAGCTTCTAGCTCTTTCAGCCTTAACTGCCTACCACCCTGCAACATACACACAACCTCTGTCCCAGGTAGGTGAGCCTGTTCCTCCCCTCCAGTTCTCCAAAATCACACTGATCCCAGTTCTGAGTATCTTTATGTCAGTCTGTCCTTGGCCTGTGGATAGGTTTCCTACTCCTCTCTTATGTTCAATTTCCACCAGATCAGCTGAACCGCCATCTCCACAGTTCAGGAGCCACTTTCATTTTCCTGTCACTGTGCCCACGTGGACACAAAGCCCCACCCCTAGACACATTTATTACACGCATTATTATGTACCTCTTCCACATAAACGAAGGCTAGCTGTTTGGTCTCCTCAACCAACCGGAACCCAGCACCAATCTGGGAAGGGAAGGAGGCTTTTGAAATAAAAAAGCCCAAAGCATATTTGCTTTCTTCCTAAGTGAGTTCTTCTTGTCCTCACTGAGAAACCACACCCACAGTAGCCCTACAACACAACCAGGCATGCAATTTTGGATAACTGGCCTTTTGTTTAAATTATACTGACACCCCTAAACTGACCTTGTATGCTAGATTCATTTTTCAGGATATTTCCCAATGGACCAAGGATTCAGATCTTCACACAGGGAAAGCTCATATTCACTTCTGTCTGGCATCATGCAGGCAATCGTAATATTTTACTGCAGTTTTTTTCAAATGTTCATTGGCAGGAACACAGAACTAGCTCAGGGTAGAACAAGTACGGACCAAAAGGAAAAACCAACAGGGCTCCCAGCAGCTTGGCTTACAAATGGTTTAATGCATTTTGTTTGTGTTATTTTATCAAAACAAAAGGATGGAAAAACAAAACTGCTAATACTAGCAGGGGAGGTTGTGTAAAGTTTATGCAGTTAAGAGAAAAGTGGAAATTGCTTGGTCTGGAGAAAGGGTAAAACCTTAGATAATATCCAGACTAAGCTGAAGCCAAAGAGAGAAGAATAAATTTAGTGGAATTGAACAAAAAGTTAGAAATATGTCAAAGGCTACGTGCAAAAAATAAGGCACAAGTAGAGATATTTAAATCCTTTTCGCTTCTTCAGGAAAGGAGATCCTTCCTTGCACCTTCCCCCAGAGCACTTAAGTCCTTCAGCTCTTCCACAGTTACATGGTACACAAAAGCAATGGTCAATTATAACTTGTTTCTCCTACTATAAAATAGAAGAGGAAAAAGTAGAAGCAGAAACGACATTAATAAAAGCAGTAACCTGGAGAAAGCAGTAGCTTATTAACAAGTGGAGGGAGTCAGGAAAACTACAAATCCCAAAACATGGGAACTCAGACCAGCCAGCCTTGGGACCATTTAATCAGAGGTGAAAAAGACCCAGATGCTCTCACCTTTCCCAGACCCTCATCTATTACAGCGCTAATGATTCACATCCCCAAAGACCACCATTAATTTATTTATGCCTAATTTTAAATCTCAAAGCTGTTTTTGCATCTAAAAAAACATATGGGACTTCTAATCCTGTGATTAAACTTGTCCCTGGAGAAGCAGTTTCGATTTTTCTTAAATGTAATTGATTTTTGTTATATTTGGTTTTACTAGTTCAGGTGTTGAGCACACAATTAAAACTAAAAGCAAAAGCACTTTGTTCTAAACTCTGTTTCTCCATAGTTGAAGATAACAATATGTA